CTCTTCCAGGCAGGTAACCACACAGGCCTCTGTCTTCCCCTTATACTCTTTTTAGGGTTGAATACATAAGTTAAGGCAAGCACTTATGACATTAACTTAGCTAAATTTAAAGGTACAAGATGTTGGACATCTTACAAAGGAAAGATGTTTTTCAGTCTTCGATATCATGTATGCATCTCATTTGTCAACACAGACAATATGGGCAGCTCAACTCTAAACATTCACAGGAGGGTACAGAAAATAAACACAAAAAGCTCATTTTTTTGATTCAATAATTTCCAGAGCTCCATCTCTGAAGAATTCAAGATATTAAAACTCTTCGAATAGTCAAGAAATTAGCATTTCTAAATAATTTGGAGTACTTTACCACTGTGTTAAATAGTAGGTGTTCTTTAGGACAATACAGTCTGGTTGAACAGTGAGTTGTGTGAGGTGGGTTTTCTGGGGGCATATCCTTATTCATAAAGAGGTATTATATTTGCTGCTCATATTCTTTGTTCAAGTGAGCTATAGCAGTACTTTACTCAAAAGGTATTCCTTGAAGTGTCTACAAAATTATCCACATTTTCACTAGGACAGCACAGGTTAGAACTGCCAGTGAATAAAGAAAACACACCTTGAAGCAGAGAAAGTATGGGCAAAATGTACTAATTAATGAAGTTAACAGAAAGCAGCTTTAGAGACTTCGATTTTTGCATACTTTCAGAATGGCCAATGTGAAAAACAAGCACCACTGCTTCTCCCTCTTCCAATACAGCAATACAAAATTACAGTTTTAGAAGCATTTGGGATGTTACCACACTTCTTACAATAATTACAGAGATTTTGCTACCATGCCCAGACCATAAACCATTCTTACCGAGTTCCCCCTGAAATTTCACTTTTAGGTTGCTGAGAATAACAGGATACATCATTCATGAAATGTTTAGTTTCATTCATCAAAATGTATGTGAAATCACTTCATTTACCAAAAACCAAATCAAAATTGCAAACAGAATTGAAACTATTTTTCATTAGACCTAAGTGGTATACAACTAGAATTTAAGCAGTTATGTCTTCATGGATAATGTTTTTGAATGGTACCAAACCCCATTAGTTCTAATATTCAATAGCTAATTAATTAAAAAGTTAATTTTTCTCACATCCTAATACAATCTACCACAACTTTCTGTTTAACCTCTACATTCAATTAAGGCATCTGACCCAAAGCACAGCTCTACCAGAAAAGATTGGGCTGTCAGCAGATGAGAATGTAGCTACAAATACTGCACAGATATTTGGACTTAAGGCTAAGCTACCAAGTTGATATTCCAAACTTTGCTGGCATCTGATTAAATAACCATTTCTCATCCTACCATCCAAATTAAAGTGAAGAATGGGGGGAACACAGGCCAATACACATTCCATGCTCAGCACTGAATTTTCCTTTGTTTTATGAGTTTTGAGTCATTTTACGCTTAAAAATAGCCAATTGAATTCCTTTTTTTCTTAAATCTAGGCCAAATTAACAAAGACACTCCTTTCTAGGCCCAAGAATGTGCCACGCAAGGGAATTTTCTACAATAAGTTTGCTTACTTGAGTTTATTTTCAGTGGGATGCTTAAATATCTCAGCTTTAAAAGTGTAAATAACATATCCCCTTTCTCAATAAATAGGGGACACCTTTTTTTTTATGAACAGAGAAGTGTTTTTTCAGCACTAGCTTAATACAACAAAGATAATGCAAGCTACAGCCTCAGAGGGGAGGCGAAGCAGATGCTGGGGACTCTCTTTCAGAGATCTTTGTTAACTACCCAAGTCTAGCTTCTGTGGTATAAGAGAGAGAGGTGCACCCTAGATATTGGGTGCCCATAGAAGAGCTCACAATTACAGGAAGAAGATAGCCAGGGAAAAGGTCACTGGCCCCCTGCATGTTCTTTGAGATATAGATAGGTCTGTATGCCCTGATCCTGGATGCATTTAGTCTGAGGGATGTATGTATGTACACTTAAACACAACTGGAAAGCTGGCTGTGCAGTGGGTGGGGCAGAGTTGAAAAGAGCTATTCTAGAAATCAACAGAATAGTAAAGCTTCCTCACTTAAATCAGAGGACATGGCAGAGGGATCACAAAAGCAGAATTTGTGAACAGTCAAGTTAGTTCTGTTTTAGCCTACTTTCCCCTAACCAGTATCTTATAAGGGTTCTATACATTCAAGGTATGGATGGGGTTCAAGATTCTCATGAAATTCTTCTATAAAATCAACGCCTTAGGAATTCATAAGTAAAATTAACACTCTTGTTGTCACAATGATCATAGTTACTAAAAAAGAAATCTAAAGATGAGTGTGGTGTTTTTCTTTTTTTTAATATTTATTTTTTAGAAGTAGTTGAACATAATACCTTTATTTTATTTATTTTTGTGTGGTGCTGAGGATTGAACCCAGGTCTTCACACATGCTAGACAGGGGCCCTACCGCTAAGCCACAACCCCAGCCCTGAGCCTGGTGTTTTTCATTAGCTCAGATACCTCTCTTTCCTTATTCAGGTCACAAGTTATTACTGAGGTATTTGTACCACCCTTGTATATATTTTCAGTGTCCTCTAGGAAGGCCTAAGGAGTTTATTATAATGGAATATTAGATCATCATGGGTCACCATGAGGACTTAATTCAGTTTGCACATATGCTTATATCTCTGAAGGAACATGACCCTGCACTCACACTCTTCATCTTAGTTCTCCTTTCTGTTACATATGATTACTATTTGTATACTTTGATTTTGTTGGATTCAGACTCTACTGAATGACTGGAACTTTAAGATCTACTCCAACCTAGACAACTGATAATCCTGTATCCTAGTATCACATTATTGTAACCTTAGTTATGGCCACATAGAATGTGTATACATATTTCAGATAACTCAAATGTCTAAGGCAGTGGTTCTAGGAAATTTTTTAAAAAATACAAAAGCCTAGATTTATATATTCAGTTTTAATTATCATGGGGTTGGTCCCCAATTCTAAATGCATCCCAGGAACTCTGATGTGCAGCTAGGATTGAAAACTATTTTGTGTACATTTAAGTCTTGTTTCTTTGATAAAAGAATCTAAAATCCCAAAGCCAAAAATTTCTTAAAGCCACAGAAAGTAGTAAATTGTCAAGATGCTTCTAAAGTGAATAAGGGCATGGCACACCAGGTTTCCTATATAGCTGATGTTAGCAATGTGGGCAAAAGAATAACTTGTGATATGGAATTATAGGAAGCTTGAAGTTATGACCCTTTCCCTTTAAATTCTAGAGAACTTCAAGTCATTGTCACCACCTGCCACATTTCCATATATTTCAAAATTTTCCATAGGTAGCTGAGAACCACTACCTGCCTGGAGGTGTCTGGTTCTGAATGCCATAAACATTCCAGAAAAATTTCAGCCTCCAAATGTTTACTTTCTGTTCCTTTAATAGGTACCTGGAGAGTTATTAAAAAAACCCACCAGATTTTGGTTATTAAGGAGGTTATTATCCTTGAGATGCAACTATAAAAATTAAACACTTGAATATTAAGAGTTTAATCAAAATGAACTTATCTCATTTAATTTTTTTTTAAACTCTTAGACCTTTGAATCTTTAGGATGAAAAGCCAGAAGTATGAATTGTTAGGTTCCAACTGTTGGTTAACCACTCTTCAATTCCAATCTTTCTTTTTCATACCCCCCAAAATCAAACCAAACCAAACCTAAACTAAAATAAAACACAAAGCAAAAAAAAAAAAAAATCCTCTAAACTAAGACAAATGGTATGGAAAGTAGAATAGGTATTTTAAATTGAACTTTCAGACAGTTGTTGGTTTTTAAAAAAGTTAACATTGAAAGGGAAATGGATCTGTAGGGGGATGAGGCTATAAATGAAATCACAGTCTTTTATAAGTTAAATTCCTGGGATTCAAATATTCATTACCAGTATCCTGTGGTAGAGCAAAGTTTTTCCATACATTATTCTCTTTGTGGATGCCAAGACTCTTCACTTTATCATAGATTTTCACATCCACTAACCACCCATGAGTATTTACATGTATATATCTTCAACTAGTGCTGGAATTTCTGAATCTTGAGTGGCACTGGTGCATTCCAGGTTTCCACTGGGTAAGCTACCAAAAAGATGGACCAAATAGGAACTTGGGGTACACACAGTGTACCAGTCTACTTCAGGTATGAGGAGACAGGGGGATACTCAGGTTCCCCAAAGTAAGTTTATATCTAGAGAGCAACTCCCACTGGAACTATGCTTCTGGCCTTGAATTATGGTTTAATGGAATTCTAGAGAAAGTATTTTTTTCCGTGCTTGAAATATTTCACATACCATATTTCTACTCTAAAGGCAGTTCTATGTGGCAATCTGTTATAAAGGCTAGGACTCCAGAAAATAAGCTCAATTAGTAATATGTGGCTCCAGGTATAGTAAGTTAAGGCAGACACATTGGTTTGGTGAGAAGCTGATCAAATACAACAGGATGGGGAGAATTATTCTCTTCATGAACTAAGTCCTAAAACACCTTCATGCTTCCAAACACATCTCTCCAGACAGAACATGTCAGCTTTACAATGCATTAATTAGTTTCCATGAGGGTCACATTTTATTTATTCACCATATTTTTCACAGATATTTATTGCAGGTCAAAATTATCTTGTCATTCTGATGCAACTCACAATGTATTTTATTAACCTATAATTTATAGATGTGACTATAAAATCTAATAAATGATTATAAAACCTATAATTTATAGAAATTACTATAAAATCTATTATAAAGTACTTTATAAATCGGCATGATTTTTGGAACAAAATCCAACTTATGAATGTTCAGCTTTGAATTATCATGATAGTCAACTACTAAGAGATTATCTTGTCAACTACCTGTCAATAATTATCTGTACAAATATAAAGAGTACAAATCAAGATGTAAAAGAATGAAGCAAAAACTAAGATGACTGATACCCCCCAAAAAGTCAAATTTACTTTCTTACCTGAAATATTTTGTGTTTGGCCTTCTTGTTGAATTGGGAAGAGGTAAGATGAGCTGTGTCTTTTTACAGAAATAAGCAGTCTTCAGTGTTTTTACAGCATTGGTTACTACAGAAACTAGACTTCTTTTACTTCATGTCTTGAAGGGTGAACAAAATAAAACAAACTGAAAATACTACAATGAATGGTAAATGATGAAAGATTTACAGTACAAAAAACAGTGTAAAAAGGAAGACAAGTTTAAATATTGTTGTGTAAGACAGCGATGAAAATAATACAAGAATGAGAATAAGTAAAATGATAGGCTGGAACATCTGGGAAGGTAAATGCAAAGACAAAGAGAAGAGTTAATTAATAATAATTTTTAAAACGTCCATTCATATTAACTAATTAAGTTATTCATTCAACTTAAAATAAGGAATTCTCCCATAAGCCTATATTTACAAAATCTAAAGTCTATAATTATACACAATGCTTTTTCTCGATTTACTTCTACTTTTTTCTAAGGATATAATGGGAAAAAAAATCACATGCTCACAATATTAAAAATCTACAACAAGGAAACTAAAAACCAAGTGTTTGATAAAATAAACAGAAAAAAGTAAGCTTTAACTTTTCAAAATCCAACAAATTTCATCATAAAACATTTTTTTTTCATGGCAAAGCACAGCAACATGCAAGATAAATAAGCAATGGGGTTGAAATTAGCTAGCTGCAACTAACAGGCAGTTAATCTCTGTCATGCTTATGTGCATAAACTAATTTTTAAATATAAAATGTCTTGCGGTCTAAAAAGCCATGCATGCTGTTGTTCTTCCATGGGTTCTCCAGTGGATACAGGACACTGGGCTTGCCATAGGGGACAGCACTACCTTTTTTGTTTCACAAATTTTCTTTTATGTGGTTAACTTTGACAAAATGCATTGGTCTTTCAGTGGCCACCATACCTGGCCAAAGCAGCTCAGTCCAATTCATCCGGTGTGCCTCTACAAATCAGGATGGAGGAAAAATGCTGGTTTTCCCTGTTCTGGAATAGTTGTTACTATTTTTCTGAGTTAGTTTTGCCTTAAAGCTATGGTGTAATACAACCGTATTGCTCCTGGGATTCTCCATTATAGAACTGGCAATGATTGTCTCTAGAAATAATCATGTAACATCAACTTATAGTACAGGGGTGGCATCTATTTGTCCCTTTTGGTAGGTCTCTAGGCCAAGATGGGTCTCCTTACCACTGGTAGTTCTCCATCAATTGTTTTTGTTCAGAAACTTTTTTAAAAAGTCTTAAACTCAATTTGAATCTTGACTCAAAAACCTGAAATTGACATTTGAAGATTGCTATTGAGGATCTTCTTGTCACACAGTAAAGTAATATTGAAAAATGCTGACCTTCTAAAATAATATATATTAAAAATCCTTGAATCTTTACCCAAAAACTTGAGTGTGATGGTGTTAACATTTCCCTTTAAATGAAACAGGGGAAAGAGTTACCAAGTGATTGGGATACAGAAATCTCAGGCCTGAATCAGGAGCACAGTGTGAAGAAAAAAAAAAAAAAGAACCCAGTGGGCCATCAAACCCATTAGGCTCTGAGCTAGGACTTCCCTAAGGTGGGGTCTGGTGTTCAGGCCGTGGAGACCACCCACGAGGGACCACAGCTCCAAGGGCCAGCCTTGCCATCGCCATGGCTCGCAGTAGGCAGAACTGTACCTGACTCACGGATATGGGCTCCTCGGCGCCATGGTCGTCCGCGGACTTGGGCACCTCCAGGCGGTCGATGAAGGTCTGCAGCTCCTTGCGAAAGGCCTTCATCTGCGCGTTGATGCGATAGAGCAGCTCATGCTCCCGGATGCGGCTGCCGTCGTCCTCCTCATCCATCAGTCCGAACAGGTCCCCGTTGGTCACATAGATGCGCGCCTCGGTGATGATGGTGCTTGTGTCGGCGATGAGCCGGTCGATGGTCTTGCCCAGGCGTTCGGCCTCAGAACGGATGTCCTTCATCTGCTGCCTGTCGGAGAAGCTCTTGGGCCAGGGACCTGGCGCAGGGTAGAAGGAGCGGGTGGGCGTGAGGCAGCGGATGTTCCGCACCTCCTCCGAGTCGCTCTCGCCACCGATGGGCCCTTCCCGCTTGCGGTGCGGTGGCCGCGAGTCATCGTCGCTCTCTTTCTTGCCCGCGTCGCTCTCAGCGTCGCTGTCGCGGGGGCTGCCACGGATGCCCAAGTGCGAGGCCAGGTCGTAGCGCTGCATGTTGGACATGAGCACGCGGTTCTCATACTGTAGCTGCATGACCTTGCCGCTGAGCTCGTTGATCTGCAGGCGTGCAGCCTTCAGCTCCTCCTGCAGGGCCTCCGTCTTGGCGCTGTCATGGTGTCGGGCACTGTCGTGGCTTCCAGACTTGTACTTGTACTTATTCAGTTCCGCAGTTATGCGCTTGTTCTGCTCTTCCAAGTCTGCCACGTTCCTCCGCAGCAGCTCCGTTTCGTCCTCCACCAGCTGCAGGTGCTGCCGCAGCTCAGAAAGGGATTCACTCTGTTCCCTCATGAGAGGGTTGGACGACCCATTGAAGTCATCGCCCCTGAGGTCGTCCAGTTCGGCCTTCAGGCCTCTGTTCTCCACCTCCAGTTCAACGATTTTCCTGCCCAGGATGTTGGCCTCTTCCTCCACCAACCTCAGCCTAAGCTTGAGCTCCGCCTCCCGGGTACTAGGAGGACCCCCAGCTTCTCCTTTGGGCAAGGGACTGTCCAGATCGCCATAAAATGATCTGTACTTCTGCAGCTCATGTTCGAATCTGTCCTTTTCTTTATCGATCTTGGCCATTTTCTTTCTCATCAAAGCAGCTTCTTCTTTAACGAACTGCAGCTGGCATTTCAGATCTTCATTGTCCTCCTCATTTAGGGAAAAGAGGGAAAAGGATAAAAGATCATTTTTATGTAAATAAAAAAAAAACAAGAAAGGACACCTGCAAAAACAATTTTTTTTTTTTTTTTTGTAAATAAGATTTAATGGCACACAGAAGTAGATGCTGTGTGTTTTCTCCAAACCATTTACATTCTTTGTCCAGGGAAAGATTAGGATACTATTATATCCTAGAAACACAAGAAAAGGAATATAAAACAAAACAAAACAAAAAGCTGATCATCACTATTTGGAGGTCATTATGTTGTAATTGCACACAATTGTTTGGTGGTCATTTAAGAATGTTCTTTTTGTTTATTTTTTATATGGCTGGATTTCCTTAACTGCAATAAATATGAAACCTATTTACTCTAAAGAACATGGTTAGTATGCACCTACTCACTGGCATTTATCAGGCAACTACTTTGATTCAGATGCTGTAAAGTTCTTTACAAATAAGACCAATTTTAATACTCAAAATAAATTTCTTAGGTAGGCATTAAGATTCCTGGTTTAAAGATGTCTAGGGAGTTGTTCAAGGTTAAACAGCTAACAAGTGGGAAAGAAGATGAATTTTGTCAGTTGTCTGAAATTAGGGGTCATGATCACTCTGCCTTGCAGAAAACAATCTTTCCACCATCGTGATTTAAAGAATTATTTTAAAGTCAACTTTAGGGAAAAGTCTGACACCCGAAAGGTCCCTCCAAGGAGAATAGTGATGACCATTTACATCACTTTTAAAATAGGGTGCACTGCCACTAGTCTGAAATGGATAGAGTTGGTTCTACCTGTTGAAAGGATAATGCACTAGACCCTGTATAAAGTCCTCTCACACTTTCTTATGACAACTATCAAAGCCTCGTGATTTAACTAAATTGAATAGTACTAAAGTAGAAATGGAAATCCACTTTTTCTGAGAGTTTTTACAGAAGTGCATTATTATATATAAAAATGTTTCCCAAGGTTAATTGCCCCCCAATTCTTCTAAATATGTACTCTGGGCTGTTTAACTTCTGTGGGCTTTGGTTTCCTTATTTTATACATTTTATTTATTTATGTACTTATTTATTTGCAACGTTGGGGATCAAACCCAAGGTCTTGTGCATGCTAGGCAAGCACTCTACCACTGAGCCATCCCTCAGTCCTCCTCATTTTAAAGTGGGAATAAAAATGCCTTCCTTACCAAGCACTCAGAGGCCCCTGTGTTTGAGCTGCATTCTGGTAAAGAACTAGGGGAAGATGAGGAGAAAAACGAGCTGCTTCCAGAGATGCTCAGTAAGTATGGCCCAGAGTCTTTGAGATGGAAGAGATGGTGAACAGGGCACAGGCCTCCCATCGTCCTATCTGCTAATGGGAGTGTAAAGTGCTAGGAGCTGCTGATCTGAAAGCCTGAACACCACATTCCTTCTGTCACTAAATCTCCATGTCTGCCCCTTGTATAGAGGATTCCTAAGCCAGCAGAATATAAGTTAATAAGCGTAAGCACAGTCTGTATTCAGGCTGATTAAAAAACACATATTCCTTGCACTGCACATGCTGCCTCTAGAAAAGAAGCACAAAAGAAAAATAGGATGAGGGGGCAAAATTAAAGAAAGCAGATGTATTGGTTTGTCTACTTTCCTTTATAAGGGGTTTAGGGGAAAGGATGGATGCACAGAAGAGGTGATGAAAGAACATCACCAGGGCATAGAAGAGGAAAAGAGGGTAAGCCACATAGAGCTTTGAAAAGAATCCATTTCAAAGGGGAGAGAATCTGTAAGAGACTGCCTTGAGATCAAGGACACATAACCAAGGTTAAGATCACATCAGCAGAGAAACCAATGGGAACTCTGAAGTTCTGAACTTGGGTATCCTTAAGAAGACAGGAGGGAGCTGGGCATGTGGTGCATACCTGTAATTCCAAAGACTCAAGAGCTGAGGCAGGAGCATCTCAAGTTTGAGGCTAGTCTCAGCAACTTATCGAGACCCTATCTCAAAGTGAAAAATAAAAAGGGTTGGGGATGTAGTTCAGTGGTAAAGCATCCCCTGGGTTCAATCCCCAGTACTGGGGGGGGGGGGGGGAGAAAGAGAGAAAAGGGGCGGGGGGGGGGGGGGGGGGGGGGGGGGGGGGGGGATAGAAAGAGAGAAAAGGTGTGAGAGAGAGGTGGGGGGAGGGAGAGAGGA